GTGTGTGTGTGTGTGTGTGTGTGTGTGTGTGTGTGTGTGTGTGTGTGTTTAGGCAGTATGCCTTCAAAGGCCAGAGGAATTGGAACCCTCTAGAAGTAGAGTAATAGGCAGTTGTAAGCTGCTCTATGTGGGTTCTTGTAACTGAGCTCCGGGGCTCTGTAAGAACAGTATGTGCCTTTACCCACTGTGCCATTTCTCTGTCTCAGTTAAAGTTTTCTTATCTACTCCAAGACAAAAAGGAATAACCAAGATCATAGGGTTTCGTTGACCTCCTGATTAGGGTATGTGCCTGTGGAACTTATCCCAAGACACAAACCAGGCTGAAAGTCTTTTTAAGGTAATCTTGATATTTATATGTCAATTGAAAAATATTTAAGTCTTTTCTATGTGCACTGTTTTGGTTTGGAATAATCTAGAACTCTCCCATGAAATGTCATTTTTTTTTCTTGGCCAGCATGACACAGCATAACTGTCCAAATTATTGGAATTATTTTAAATGTATAGTGGGAAGACTTCCATGGCAGAATTGGATTGTATTCAACTGAGCTATTGGCCAAGGGGATCACATGGAAATCCCCAAACAACGCAGGCTGATGCTAAGACAATGGGTCACTCTCCAAAAACTGACAGCATTGCTGAAGGTAACACCCACACAACTCATTGAATATTAAGAAGCCAATGAAGTCTACAGTCTTATGTTCTATACTCTTTGGTATGGGAAGGTAATCTACCAAAAGAGCAACGAGAACACCAACCAAGCTTTTAACCAACAATCTGTCCTGCCTGCAAAATATTTAGGGTAATGGTAGCACAGAAATTGTGGGAGTAGCCAAGCAATGTCTGATTTGACTTAAGGCCCACACTATGAGAAGGAACCCATACCCAATACTGCTCAGGTACCAAGAACCAGAGACTAAATAGCCCAGGGACCTAGAGTAAAACCAATACAACTGGTTTAAAAAAAAAATCAATAAAATGACTCCTAATGATATTTTGCTATACTCATAGATCAGTGTCTTATCCAGTCAACATGAGAGAGGCTTCCACTGGCAGCAAATGGAAACAGATGCACAACCAGACATTATCTGGAATCTAAATTGGAGGCATCAGTAAATTCCTCAGAGCTCAGGGAATCCTACAGAAGAAGACACAGAAATTTTTTATTTGTTTTTTTATTAATTTATTTTTTATTAATTACAATTTATTCATTTTGTGTCCCAGCTGTAGCCCCCTCCCTTGTCCCCTCCCAATCTTACCCTTCCTCTATCTTCTCTTCCCATGCCCCTCTCCAAGTCCACTGATAGGGGAGGTCCTCCTCTTCTTCTATCTGACTCTAGCCTATCAGGTCTCATCAGGGCTGGTTGCATTGTCTTTCTCTGTGGCCTGGTAAGGATGCACCCCATCTTAATAGCCACAAGGGATAGAGGACACCAGAATAATGTAGCCATCTGAATCAACTAAGCAAGGTGTGTATGAGCTCACAGAGACTGAGTCAACAAGCACAGGGCCTGCATTGTTCTTCACCAGGTCCTCTGTGTAGATATTATAGCCTTTAGCTTGGTATTTTTATAACTCCTGACTATGAAAACAAGTAGGTCTCTGTCTCTTTTGCCTGCTCTTAGGACTCTTTTCCTTCTGTTGTATTGCCATGTCCAAATTCAATATGATAGTTGTTGCTTTATCTTATTATATTTTATTTTGTCATATTTGGTTTTTATCTCTTAGAAGCTTGTTCTTTTCTAATGAGAGACAGAAAGGGAGTGGATGGAGAGGTAACGGGGGTGAGGAGGAACTGGGAGGAGTAGAGGAAGGGGAATCTATATGAAATATGTAATGTATGAGAAAAGTATCTATTTTCAACAAAAGAAAAAAAATAAAAGAAACCAAATTAAGTGAACAGTGGAGAACAAGCTAATGAGCAACACTCCTCTGTGTTTTCTGCTCTATTTCCTGCTTCCAGGTTCCTTCCTTGCTTGAGTTCCCATAAGCTATAAGCTAAAACAAACCATTCTCTCCCACCCACCCCCTCAAAACAAAAAAACAAAAACAAAATATTGTCGTTGTATTCATGAGAATGTTTGTAGCTGTTTTCTTTGAATTGAAGTATTTGTTTACAGACTAGAAACAACAGAGGCTCACAAAACTTCTAAGAAAGTCGTCAGAATCAGAGCAGTCTTCATAAGGCGATCTGAACAGCAAGCAGTTATAGGGAAGAGAAGCCTCTTTGGTGTAGTTGCTGACATGGTGTGTGGGGAACTCTAGGTGCCATTTTCAGCCCATGCTAGTATGAGTTCACTAGTAACACAGACTCCTATGTCACCATGCTCCTTATTACATAACCATTCACCACGATTCTAGGAGTAACCCCAATAAAGTCATTGGCTTACCATGCTGTATACACTTGGATTGACTCATGTCTTCAGTCTGTCACCTGTGTCTTAACTAGGACAAGAAGAGGTTTGTTCCTGTTTTCCCTAAAAAAAAAAGAAAAATCACACAATTGCAGGGCCAACTACGGTCTCGTGTTGAACTGAGGTAGTGCCAGGAGTCCTTTCTTTAAAACATTTGACTCAGCAATGAAAAATAAGGAAATCATGAAATTTGCAGGTGAAAGGTGGGAACTGGAAAGGATCATCCTGAGTGAGCTGTCCCAGAAGCAGAAAGACACACATGGTATATACTCACTCATATAGACATATAACATAGGATAAAATGACTAAAATCTGTATATCTACTTAAAGAAACTAATCAAGAGGGAGAACCCTGAGTAAAATGCTCAATCCCCATCCTGAAAGGCAAAGAGGATGGACATCAGAAGAAGAAGAAAACAGGAAACAAGTTAGGAACCTGCCACAGAGGGCCTCTGAAAGGCTCTGCCCTGCAGACTATCAAAGCAGATGCTGAGACTTATGAGAGCAACAGAACCAGAAAATTTGAACACAGGGGTCTTTCCAGAGACTCAGACTCCAACCAAGTACCATGCATGGAGATAACCTAGAACTCCTGCACAGATGTAGCCCATGGCAGCTCAGTGTCCAAGTGGGTTACATAGTAATGGGAAGAGGGACTGCCTCTGACATAATCTGATTGGCCTGCTCTTTAATCACCTCCTCCTGAGGGAGGAGCAGCCTTACCAGGCCACAGAAGATGACAATGTAGCCACTCCTGATGAGATCTGATAGACTAAGATCAGAAGGAAGGAGAGGAGGATCTTCCCTATCAGTGGACTTGGGGAAGGGCATGTGTGAAGAAGGGGGAGGGAAGGTAGGATTAGGAGGGGAGGAGGGAGAGGTTTATGGGGGAATACAAAGTGAATAAAGTATAATTAATAAAAGTTAATAAAAATAAATAAAACATTTGACAAATTTCTCCTCTTAGAATTCTGTTTTGAACCTTTGTCTGACTTTGTGTGTGTCCATGAGTGCGTGTTTGCCTCTCCTGGGGTTTCTAGAGATTCTGTATGTTTTCCCAAGGCAATTTGCCTAACTCACTATTTCCTGATATTTTTCTTTTTGTATTTAAGCAGATAGAAATGAGCTTCACTGGTTTTTTAAAAATCAAGCAGAGTTAATAGAAGAAATGAAACACCAATTTATATTAACCACTTCTCATTAAAATTAATAAAAGATTAAACATATCCCTTTATAGCTAAACTTCTCTGTTCATCCTAATTATCTATAGTAGAGTTCAAATTAAGTTTCTTTCTGAATATCATTATGAAATTATGGCCTTCCACAAACTCATCATATTTCAATTAACCACAATTATCATGTCCTTTATGATGCTCAAATTGTAGACTGGCTAGTAAAAAAATCTCTATGCTGGCTCATTTGTCCTTTAGGCACCTTTTTGGTATCTCTGATGTCTATAGTGCCTGGGTATTCCAGAGAGAGAGAGAAAGAAGATGAGAGAGAGGGAGAGAAGAGCCATGAAGACAGACAGACAACAAAGAACTACTGCTGTTAGATTCAGAAAACTGCTACCAAGGCTACTCATTACCATATCCTAACACTATTATCACTATTATCATCTTTAAGCTACTATACCTTACTGTTTTTGAGCATCCTGTTGATCACTAGACTTTTTAATATAAGAATGTAACAAATGACTGCAGCTTAAAACTTGGGGCTTTCGTAGTTCTAGCCCTGGATCAAATTAGCTTTCCTACTTGTCTTTTCAGGAAGCTACCATCTGCAGAGCCTCACACTCAATCCTTGTTACCTACCTCATTCTGGTCCCAAGGAGCAAACATATCCAAGTTCAACTCTCAGGCCACATGATAGGCTGTTGCCCACCTGGAATGCATATGCATTTTGTGCCCCAGAAGAGTAATTGTTCAGGATGACGGCATGTTGGCTTCATCTCTTTTAAGGGATTGGCTTTGCTCACAACGAGTATCTTTCTGTGGAGACCCTCCTTCTTCCCTTCGTCTGTGCTTCTTCCGGCAGCAGCTTTATGCCGCTCTGTGTTACTCTTCCTCACTGGCACTCCCATTTGAATTATAAGAGTATGAAGAAAAATCCCATCTCCAGAAATTCTCATTAGCTCTTGGGGAGAACTGGTGCTCTGCCCCTCCACACAACCCTCCAGCTTATCTCACTGAGTCTGTTTTCTTTCTGTAGATGCTGGCTTCACACAGTTTTGAAAAGTGATCCCCTGGGCTGCTGTCTCAGGCTTGCAGGGCTCTTCATTTAGGAGACCTGAAACTGTCCAAGATATGCAGTGGTCTTAGCTCATTTATTTTTCTTCAATAGGTTGAGCGGGTACCATCTTGGGGCCTTATAATCTTCCCATTTATGAAGAGGGCTTTGGATAAGAATATGGAAGCCATAGGCTAGAAGGTAGAGAGCTCAGTAGGGTCAGATCTGAACTCTAAGACAGCAAGCAGACAGCTGTTCCGTTTTCACTTTTATCCTGTTGGGTGGGGGCAAGAGGGATGTAGCATTCTCAAAGGCTACTCATTAACCAAGACAACACGGCCCATATATGATTAAATGTGTACTTTAAAGAATGAAGATGTTTAAAAAGTATACTCCTGATACATGCTAATTTTTAAATGTTTGGATGTAAAATCTTCCACTTATAGGCTAGGTTTGTAGAAGATATTTAACACTAAATGCTTTGACCTTTCTAGCATGCTGACCCAATTGTGGTCATTACTCCCATCCTCAAGGTGGGTAAACTGAGGCTTGTATAAGTTATTTATCAATAGCCAAAACCCAGCATGTGGCAGATTGTGATTCAAATTCAAACAGCCTGCCTGATTCTAGAACCCCTAATCTCAAGTGTGTGTGTGTGTGTGTGTGTGTGTGTGTGTGTGTGTGTGTTATAATAGAGCAGTGCTACAGTTTGGAATCCTTTTGTAACCCACCTTATCAAGAACATTTACCCAATCATACCTTTCTTTTTAAAGTATTTTTTTAATAGTTGAGAGTTTAATTTTTTTAAAAATATAAGTTTTCCAGGCTTGATATGATTTACCTGTAATCTCAACTACTTGGGATGTTGAGGCAGGGGATTGCTTGCCTAAGGCCTGCTGGGCTACAGAGTGAGTTTAAGGTCAGCTTGGGCATCTTAGTGAGATACTGTGTCAAAAGAAAAAGGCAGGGTAGGTACCTAGCTGGAAGAACACAAAGGAACAGAAAAGAAATCAAAGTTTGCTAGTCTTGTAAGACGTAGACTCCTCCAATTTCTCCATGTTATAAAAACCACTCGATAAACATTGTACAGTAAAACATAGTAGTTATCTTTTGTACTTGTGTCTCCAATTACTTTCCTAACTAGATGCATCAGCAGGGAGTTGGGGGCAGGGAGAAAAGGAAGGGAGCAATTTGAGGACCCAGGTAGATGGTAGCTGATTACTTTGCACAGAATTTGTGTTAGTTCACACAGGGGGTTAGCAAACGGTGAGGCAGCTTTTTGCACAAGACTGTCACAGAACATTCTCTTAAGTAAGTCAGCCAGGACAATGGCTCAACTGGCACTCACCGCCAAGCCTAAATTTGATCCATTGAACTCCTATGGTGAAAGAAGAGAACTGATTCCTGCAAGTTTTTTACTTCTGTTACATGTGAGTGACATAGGTACACAGGCCCACACACAACATACATGCGTAGACACACACACACACACAGACACACTCTCTCTCTCATCAATAAATGTAAAGTTTTTCTCCACACGAGTGGGTGAACAAAATACATCTCATATCCATTTGATTAGTCATAAGAACATTTTCTTGTTTACTGGAGTTTGCATGTTCTGAGTGGATCTTGTCTGTGTCTCCTTGCAGTATTAGGATTTTATTTACCGATTTGAAAGAGTATGTTCTGTGCTCATTTAATGATACCCTCCGTCTGCCTTGCTGCTTCAACAACTTTTCCCAATTTGTCATTTGATTGTTTCGAGTCACATTTCCTGAGGTAGAGCATTTAGCAGCTTTAATGGTGTTGGAATAAAATCTGTCTAGCGTTTCCTTGGTAATTACTTACATGCTTTTTTTTTTTTTTTTTTAAGAATGCCTTTTCTTCACCAGAGAGCCATTAATTTTTAAAAATAGTTTGTCTATGTGTGGTTCTTTAATCCATCTGTTTTTATTGTTTTGGTTTGAGGCTGTGATCATGGAGAGACCATAGTTTGAGCTCATCAATTTTCCCAGTTGTTTGATGAATAACATTTCCTCCTGTGTTTCTTTTTATTAATCTGGGATAGATATTAGAGTCTGGATCAGAGTGGTTGCTCTATGCTGTCACTCGGCTGGCCAGCTATTGAGCTAGTGGTATTTGATTTCATTTGCTGCTGCTGCTTCTGCTTTAATATAGAGAAGGACATGCCTACTAATTAACAGTTCCGATTTTCCTTTCTAAAAATATTGTTTTTAATGTTTTAAAATTATAACTCATGACCTGGAGAGATGGGTCATTAAGCAAAGTTCTTGCCTTACTAGCATGAAGACCAAAGTTCAGATCCCTAGAGCCCAGGTATGGCAGCACACCTGTAACCCCCAGTGCAGAGACAAGTGTATATAAACTCGTGTGTGGATGCTCTGTTCATGATCTCTCTCTAGGGCCAGGTGAGATTTGCCATGAAAACATACATTTGCTTCAACTTCTCAGAGTTATATATCTTAAATAGCATTCTAATATTTTATACAATTTTCCCACTTATGTTTCTTTTCTACTTTTCCAGTCTTGGTCTTACTTTTTCAGGTCCTAAGTACCAGTAAAGTGCCCAGACCAAAGCTACTGAGAGCGGGTAATAGGATTTTCTACATGAGGCATCTCTGACTCAGAAGCCCACACTGCTCTTTCATTTTTCCTTTGTTTTTATTTTCTCCGTTTTTATAAGTGCCTTGGTGTCTTTTCCCATTGCTGTGATAAGATACCCCCAAATAACAATTGATGAAAAAATGGGCCATGAATTTGAAGGAAAGTGGGGAGACATATATGAGAAGGTTTGGAGGGAGGAAAAGAAATAG